AGAAACATGTGTTCTAAAAATTTTAGGAATAATTTTCTAAGAAAAGTCCAAAAATGGCCGCGTCACAATGTCGCGGACAATAATTCTTCGAACGCAAAAATTTTCCTTTAAGTCCTATCTTGAAGCGGAAACACAGGTTATGCGGACGGGTAAGCATATTACTATACAGAGCTCGTCAAGAACTACACACTGGTTATGGTTGCTTCCCCAAAAAACGCAAGCTTGAGTTTTATTTTGCTTTTTTCAAAAAATAACTTCTAATTTCCTTTATCAAGCCAAATTTCTTCACACGGAAACCTGTTCAAGACATCCCAACAAAGCCGTCTGGATAGAATAGATGCTTTTTGCCATCCTCTATGCATCGGATATGTGCTGATGAGTTTCTTTGCTGAAAATGGCCCTTGGCAGTGCTTGCACATGAGCCCACTTGCACCTCATCATTGACTTGTACCGCTTTGCAGGCTTGTAACTCGGCCGCCAGACACCACAAGAGTCTGCAATTAGGCTCATTCGAAAGAACGAGACTTCTTCTATACGAAGATATGCAAATGAGTTGAGTTTGAAAAATTTAAGAGATTTGGCGGATGGGGTGAAAAAGTGCAGCCTCAGAGGTGATTGGAGTGGAAGCACTTATGAACACCAGAACAGTCTTAGAGCCTCGAAATGGATCTATTACAAGAAAAGTGACAGTTTTGAACTTCCAGGATGAAATTGGTAGCGAAAGGAGCTCTCTTCGACTTTAGCTGAAAAGTGCTTAGACCACAACTGAAGCTGCCCTTTACTACCTCATCCGCCAAATCTCTGAAGTTTCTGAAACTCAACTCGTTTTCATATCATCGTATAGAAGAAGTCTCCTTCTTTCGAATAAGCCTAATTGCAGGCTCAAATATTGACTGCAGGCCGAGTTACAAGCCTGCAAAGTGGTACAAGTCAGTGGTGAGGTGCGGGTAGGGTCATGTGCAAGCACTTCCAAGGGCCATTTTCAGCAAAGAAACTCATCAGCACATGCCCCATGCATAGAGGATGGCAAAGAGCATCTATTTTATCCAGACGGCTTTGCTGGGATATGTTGAACAGGTTTACGTGTGAAGAAATTTGGCTTGATAAAGGAAATTAGAAGTTATTTTTTGAAAAAAGCAAAATAAAACTCAAGCTTGCGTTTTTTGGGGAAGCAACCATAACCAGTGTGTAGTTCTTGACGAGCTCTGTATAGTAATATGCTTACCCGTCCGCATAACCTGTGTTTCCGCTTCAAGATAGGACTTAAAGGAAAATTTTTGCGTTCGAAGAATTATTGTCCGCGACATTGTGACGCGGCCATTTTCGGACTTTTTTTAGAAAAGGATTCTTAAAATTTTTAGAACACTTGTTTTTCAAAAAGCTTAAAGTGAAGATTGTAGATCTTGAAGAGCTCTATCACCTCATGCAATTATTACATTTTTTCATCCTTGTTCCCTCTGAAAAAGAGCGATGAAAAAGGGAGAGGGGTTTGTCCGCAACTTTTTGGCGGTCACTGTATATACTTCACTGCTGATTCTTTCATTTCGAAATCGCAGATGCAAGGCGCACCTTTTGCGCCGTATGTACATATGTGTTTTTTAATGCGAGCAGCTTAGCCGTTTCGCTGTGCTCCGCGGGACGATCGCTATGCCGCGCAATTCTCCTAATCCGGCAGTGCGCTATACGTTATAGAGCCCATTTGTCTCGAAATATTTTGGCAGGTTCGGGCTTTTCAAATTTGAAAAAAAATGGTGCGCCTTGTACTCACTGGATTAAGGTACACTAGCTGGCTTACCCGGCTCCGCCGTATGTTCCGAATAGAAAATTCCATTTCTCAACCGATCCGGACCAAACTTGGCACACATACACATCGGGCCCCGGCGAGTGCCACAGTCCACTTTTCGTTATCGATCGATGTCGATTTTATCGATTTTTTTGCAAAATTTGAGCTAGGGGGCTGGAATTTGGCAGGGGGTGTAATCGAGCATGCTGATCACCCCCCCCCCCCCGTCCTCATCCTGGATTTGGAATCGCAAAAACGCAAAAGACTTACCGATTGCTATCGATTACATCAATTTGAGGTGACTAGTAACTAAAAAGGAAAGAAAATGCTAAAACACCTTGGAAGCACTTACCTGAAGGCTTGTTTCTCCCACGAATCCAGGATGGGGACGCCAAAGGTGAACTGTGTGTGCAATGACACACATGATCATATGAAATGAAGCGACTGTACAGACAGACAGACATACAGACAGACAAACAGGCATTCAGCTTTATATATAAGATTACAAACATTTGGATATGTTGTGCCTTCTTTCCTTCACCCTTCTTTTTCTTTCTAATGTTGCCATCGCTTTGCTGATTTCTCAGATTGTTGTTCTTAGGTTAAATCCTTCTTCTCTGCTCATAAGCTCGAGCTTTTTGTCTCTTATCTTCTTGCACTTCTTGCGGAATGGTGTTTCACTTTACAGCCCTTAAACAAGTGTTGTACGAAACATTTTAGCAATTCAGTTTCTTGCGTTCTTCTTCGATATGTATAACGTTCTGGAATTGCCGGCTGTTGTCTCGCTGAGCACAGTTCTTGTTGAGTCGTCTTCCGTTCAGCTTTGTATCTTTTGTCCGATACGCAATGAGTGTTCGCCTTACTGTAGCTTCCTTTGAACCCTTCAGTGCGAAAATTTGTTGGAGGCATGATTTCATTGCTATATGCGTCATAGGTCTTTGCTTTATTGCAGTCTTCTGCGATCTTTCGGTATACAAAGGTATTATGCGTCTAACGGCGACAAGGCCGCGCAGTGCAGTTAACTACTACGTGCGGCTGGCTTCTCATCTATGCTATGCCTGCAGATAACAGTCGTAGCTGCTGATAATCTATAAGAGAATGAGAAACATGCATAAAAATAATAGAAACCTTAAACCATCATCCCCAAGTAGTAAGACGCTAGCTCGCGCGCGTTCGTTGCGGCTGCACTACTCGCACCTGTTACGTACCATTGGAGGGCAAGCGTTAGGCGACAAAACGTGCAAAACGCAAGCAACGTAAATCCCGTAACTCGAAACTATGCACCATTTTTTCATTGGCGTCGGGTAATGTATCGGCCCCGACCCCCACTCCCCTGTTTTTGGCGGAGGAGACGTTTTGCACGGGGAGTTCTTTGGGGTCCAAAAAATTGGGTTTGTTGCCTAGCGCCCTACACTCCGTACCATTAGACGGCCTGTATTCTTCGGAACATTACTTCATTTTGAACGCCGATGTCTTCACATCGAAATTTTCTCTATTTTGTGACAGTTCTGTCAAATCTATCGCAATTACCTTTCCTGCTTGCACATGCCTCAGAGACTTTTTATAGGCATCTGCCCAGCTCAGTAGACACGCAATTTTCGGGGGGCTGCTTGGCACCCTTCAAACTTTTTATAACGTGTGTGACTAGTCTGTCGATTCTGCTAATCAGCACGAGTCAGGGGGGGGGGGTAAGAGTTTTATTCAAATAAAGATGCGTGACGTTAGCCACTTCGGAATTTTTTTGGATGCTTCCTCAAATTTTTGCTGCTCTACAACGCCAAGATTCAAAAAAGGGGGCAAGTTTGAGTTGAAAAATTCAAAAAATTGTTACAATTACTTACTAATATAAGCAAGTTACATGCACATTATCATAATTCATGTAAGCAACCTTCAAAAACTGCGACCCATTCAGGAGGGGGGGGGGGGCTTCAGTCCGCTACTGCTCCGTAGTGATACTATCTCTCTTGTACCTCTATGCCACGGGCGGCGGCTTCGAGCAGATGCCCATCTGCTTTTGCTGGAGGCGCATTTGCGTCTTCACTTCCTAACTGTAGAGACGCATTTGCTCCTCCGCTTCTTCTTGTTGCTGGCGTCTGCTCTTGCCTTCTTGCTGCAGATGCATCTGTTTTTGTTGCAAATGCATCTTTTTCATAATCTCGGCATCCTCATTAGAAATCTTGCTATTCCTTGGCAGGCATCCGCGCATCTTCGTTCTTCGTTTCTCCATGTTTCCTCCTAAGTGTAGAAGACAGGTCAGTGTTGGCATGCTCAAAAGGAGCCGCAACTGAAAGTGAGCTTAACCACGGGTTTGGCTGTCATCTTTAACTGTGCTGTCTACAATGAAAGTCATAAAGACATACGTACAACTCTGGGATGTTTTCATTACTTCAAGGGAAGAATTGTGACTTTGAAGAGAAAACTATCAGCCGTTGGAGATCATTGCGAATTCACGCCAAAGAGACTGAAATGCACCACAAATGAGTGGGAACAGCGGGAAGTCAGATCTTCGGAGCTTGAGGCTACTGAACCTTCTTTTAAGTTGCGCCCATTTCTGGCGATGCCATATTGTTATAGTAGGTGATTGCGGTCATTTGCACAATTCTTAACGCTACAAAATCTTTAGCTCATTAGACAAACAAATTCCGATAGCTCCCAAGACTGGTTTGAGTAACAAAAGACTTGCTTCTGATTGCACAAATGGTTGAGAGGAGTCGTTTGGATCGTGTTGTCGTGATGCTGGGCAACGTCTCTTAGTCTAGAGCTCTGTCATCATGCATCATTGTCTCAGGTAATTACTTCCTTATCTTCTTCAGTGAACACATTTCACTGTTTGAGACAATGAACTGTAGTAAGTGTTTTAGGGTTCAGATGTCTACGCAATACCATGATCATGTTTCTGACCTGTGGGTAAAAGGTGTTTGATACTTCGGTTTTTTCTATAGCGAGCCATGTTTTTGAATGCTTCAGTACAATATTTAGTTTGACGAAGCAATCATGTTGCTTAGTCGGCAGAAGATGGTAGTTAAAAAAACAGAAAATAGGATAGATTGTCCAATCTGCACTGCAAAATCTGTTAAGACTTGGAGCATGAAGATATACATGCAAATTATTGACATACATAAACAAGCAGTCTATACTGTGAGTGCATGACTGTTATTGAAGACATATAATGTACTATTGTACAAAATTTCTGCCATAGAGAGTATAAGGAAAAACATATTACAGTGTAGAAGTAGAAACGCAATGATACACAACACAAAAAATCGAGACACTGATTAAAGCAGTTCTGTATTCACAAAAAAAATGAACATGTGACATTTCGAACGAGGTGAGCATTTGAGAACAATTGAAGAAGATTAAGAGATCTCCACTTTGAAATATGGTTTATCATTAGGGAAAATGAAGAACATCGCTAAGAGGGACCCGTCCATGCAAAAGAAGATAGTGTTTGCTAGCTAAAAGAGGAACTTGCAATTATGTAGAAAAATTACGGTAAACTGACCATCATGTAAAAATCGTCTATTGCTATGCTATAGATTATCGCGTGCAACTCCATGATCCAGGTGAATGCAACGGGCGCAAGAGGAACGAAGTCGATGCACCTCGAAGTGACGGCTTTGTACTGGAAAAGATCATTCAATTAATTCTGCTCTTTCTTGTTATTTTTTCGTAGGATCTTAATTTGTTGATGCAAAATTAATGCAAGTTCCTTATCCTGAAGCGGCAGAGAAGATATAAAAATGCGTAAAGTACACCATTCGATAGAGCAAAGCAAGCTCTACAAGATATACTTAACACATTCACGACAATACGACCCACCGGCGGGTCGTACGTGTTCTGCCATTTCGGACAATACGACCCACCGGCGGGTCGTATGCTTTTCGAAGTTTTTGGTTTTGTTAGTTCACGGTGAAACTTTCTAGGCGAACCGAGTAATGTGCATACATCTCTTCGAGTACTTCCTAAAAGATTGACACTTCAGACCATAGGGTCCATCAGTGACCTGAAAATATTACGCAAACTCAATTTTGCGAAATATGCTCTGGTCCGAAATGGCAGTCATCGAAAAATCAGCCCTGTCGTGAATGTGTTAAACAGTCGCTAAAGGTTTGACATACTTGAAGTTTGCTGGAAAGTCGAAACCGATTACCCAAAAAGATACTTCCGTTTGAAAAAGATCCTGCGCACTTCCAACTTAGTCAAGCCTGTATTAAACACATAAGATATTCATATGTACACTTGCCGTGATTTTTTCGTAACTGGAAATTGGAAAATAGGCCAGAAATACAAAAATGACGTTTGTTCCGGTTCTTTATGTTAAATTTGATATTTCTTGACAAATAACGTCAAAGAAGGCTGAAAATTTGAAGTTATATGATACTTCCGAAGGCTAGTAGTTTGGAATTGTCTATGTCCGGATAATCCAGCATTGATTTTGCTCATACCTTCGATAGTCAAGAGACAGAGCCTAGAAAGTGATAGTTGTTTGAGTTCTTGCCCCCTATAAAAAGTGAAGGTTGTTTTAGAAAAAATAGATAGAAATTTAGAGAATAGTTTAGAGAATTGAACCAGGAAACTTGAAAAATTCATATAAAACAGAGGCTAACACATCACCAAATTTGAAACCTTATCTTGGTGGTTTCCTACGCACATTTTTGTCTTCAGAATTGCCGGTTAAATTGAGTGGCAACAGGAATAAAGTTCCTTTTTAATTGAAAAAAAGCGTTAGCTGTGGCGGTAGTTGGGAGACCGAAAGAAGGCAAACTTGTCAACAACTGAACTGAACATATTAAACATGTCTGAAAAGTTATGCTGCACATCGACGCCAATCTGATTTTTGACGCGTCCTTTGAATTTTCACTCCCGCATGGTCGTTTCGTATCCTGCGACGTTGTCTGGATTCTTCCGCTCATCATTCTGAGCAAGTAACGTCCAAGCTGGAGAAAATTCGTTGCAAAAGCATTGAAAAAGAACAAGGTAAAGAAAAACGCACTTTTTGGTAATTTTCACAAAAAAAGCGGCATAAGCAAAGAAGTAAGCTCGGCGACGTTGTCTACATTATAGATAGAAACAAGACCTATCGAATACACAAAAAAACCGAGTGAAAAGAGTTGAACTGAAGAAAAAACAAGAGGTTTTCGAAAACTCCGTTTTTCCTATATTTCTCGTTTGAATCATAAAAAGGAGTCTTGCGACGTTGTCAGCGTGAAAATAGAGATCAAGAGCTTTAATATGATATATAGATAGTCGAAATTGGGCTCCCAACAACGAAGAAAAGGCTACCAGAGCCAAATGCCCCGCGCCCCGCTTTTGGGGTAGCAAGGTAGCGCGCAAGTCGCGGAGACGCAGACGAGCAGCGGAGACAGACCAGAGCCGGCGGGGCATTTGGCTCTGGTCATTGATCTCCGCGGGATCATAACGAAACCCTGTAACATTATATATCGTTGTGATCCTCATGAGACGTCCAGAAGCACTGACAACGTCACGGGTCTCGAAAATCACTCCATAACGAGATAGACCAGCATTTGAGTAGCGACTCTCTGCGCAATATTTGAGCGCAGTTTCTCGTTTCTATTGAACTCCAGCGGCTTTCATGAACTTCCAACGCTCAATCGAAGTCTAGAGAAAGATTAATTGAGAAATTTTGCTCTATTTCCTCATTGAATTCTTGAATAAAAGTCTTTTTGGCAAAAAAGGGCCATAAAAACGTAATTCTTCGGTTTTTTGAGCTTCTTTTGGATGTCACTACTAATTTACCTCATTCACATCTCTCCCTATTTGGATATGTCATTAGTTATGCCATGATATCCGGGGCTTCGCCCCGGATGACTTCCCTCTAGGTGAAGGTTGTGTTCTATCATGACGCTGAAAGTGAAGGTCACCAGAGTACGTGGCTCTATGTATCGAAGGTATGATTTTGCTAGAACTGCCGACTTTTATTTTCTCATCTTGTAGCCATAAAAAACAGCAAGTGTACATGTGCATAACTTGAGCGAAAAGTTATTTTTCAGAGGAAGTTGGAGGTTTGTAGGATTATTGATCCAATTTTGGGCATTTGGAATTTTTGGATTTTTCTTCCTAAACATTTATTGAATTTTTTAAGATTGTTTGAGCACCATCCTGGAACTTTCGAATTTTTGTGTCTGCGTTTTCCACGAAAATTCAGAATGCTCTCGATTAGCTCAAATTTTGCTTACAATTGAAGGACCCTCGGTCGAGTGGGGTTTCCACATGTGATGCATATCTTCTGCTTGTTTTGGGCCACGTTCCTTAGCTGTCACTGATCTTCCGGGAGAAATTATGAGCGTTGGTTCCCCGATATGACCACCGCCCGTCGTAAGTCTACGGTGCCAGATAACGTACAGGTGTGGACGAATGGTTGAATGGATAGCTGCTGAGGCTATGGAACAGGTGGGTAAGAGTTCGAGTGTGTATCGTACCTACCGTATCTCTTATGGAACAGGATTTTAATCAAGTTTTTTGATATGCCCCTTGCCTACCTGTAACCACCTAGAATCTCCCAACCAAATTACAGCCGTATACATGACTTTGTCCTCCTTTGGTATACCTATCGTAACTCCAGAATAAATTTGAGGATGCAAAAATCATCGCGAATGATCTCCATAGACCTAGTTTTAGTGAAAGCACGTCTTTGAATTTTTGGGGCACGACTGGAATAGCGCAAGTTCTTGTTGTAGACAACTCGATAGGGTCTCCTTGTTTCGAAGAGCTTCTGCGAATTCATATAAAGCCATTTGCAAAGAATGAAACTTGGTAAGAAGGTGGTTCGAACTCTTGCCCACCTACTCCATAGCCTCCGCAGCTATTCACTCAACCATCCGTCTACACCAGTACCTTGTTTGGTGCCGCAGATTTATGGCACCTCGGCCATCCTGGAGGACCAACGCTCATAACTTTTCCCGGGAAAGCGAGTAGCTAAGGAACACGGATTTGTTATTAGTGCCCCAAGACCGCAGAATGATATGCACCAAGTATGGAAACTCCTCTTCGACCGAGGGTCCTTCCCTTGTTAGATAGAAAGAGTAGGTCACAGAACCCATGCTTATGATTGTTTCGGTCTCTGCTGTGACGTTTTTAGGTTTTTTGAGCATTACCAAAAATTTCAAACTGAAGAATTCTCTTCATTTGCTTCGAACTCGTAAACTATCTCATACTAATGCATGGCAAAGGTGCTACAGTAATGTGCAAAATTTTTTCTTTCAAGAGAAATACTTCCGGAATTTTTTGTGATCCTGCCTGAAAAATGTCAATCTTGACAAATTTTCCTTAATTGCTTCTAGCTCCCGGATTTCCTCATACTAAATCATGACAGAGGTATTGCTGTAAAGAGCATGATTTTCTCTTTAGAATAACAATAATTTTAAGAAAAACAGTTGAGATATAAAGTTACGATCTTATGAAAAAACGCGGCGCAAGAACTTCTAGGACAACCTAATATATACAGGGTGTCCCAAAAAGATGTGCACACTGTTCGATCGTCAGTAACTCTCTTGCTTGAATACCTTTCGCCGAGCTTGAGGGTCCTATAGTGCGAGGTTCAACTCATATTTACAGCATGAAACGAATCTCCGGTCTTTCTTACTGTAGGATAACGGTGGGAACTTTGAGAAGGATTTGAGGACTTTTCAATTCATTGCTCAGCTCAGTTACTCTCAATAGCTAAAAGCTACATATAGCCCAAAAAACGCTCATTGGGAAGCCAAGGAAGTGGGTTGTCGAGACGACGCAAGCGACCGACGTGCGCGGCTGCCATTGTCATGATTTTACGATTGCCCTACACTCAAAAACCAATTAGCATTTAATTGTGAAAAACGCATGTTCTATATGTCTTACTGGAGTCTGAACCATCGTAGTTGATGGGCGAGCACCCCAGCAACATCCACTTTTTGGGGCGATTTGCCTTTGAAATAGTACTTTTGCAGCGGGATTCAAGCAGTTATTGAGTGAAAGGCCTCATTATCGCATTGCATCAGAATCTCACCACTTCCAGATATGAATAGACGGCGTTCATAGGAGTGGCGGGCAAAAATAACGATAGATCGCAGCCGCTAGCGGCCAGTTTCGCGAGCACAAATCGATCCCAAACCAGGGCCCGGCACGAGGCGGGCAAACGGGTTTTTTTTTAATGAATACCGCCCTGAGCCCAAAAACGTTGTTTTGAGCTTGTGCAACGAGAGCACCACACTTCGCCTAAAAGCGCTCAAAGGCGCCCAAAATGCTCAAATTCCTCTAATTACTCCTCACCTGTATCAAGATAGAAAACAGGAAGAATAAGCAAGAAAAATGATGAAAGCATGAAGAAATATCAAAGTAACAAGTCATAGGACTGAGAGACGCCGTTCCCGCGCGTATCGCTTGACTGGGGCGCGCTTTCCATCTTAAAAGCAGTGTCCTGGCAAATCTGGGCACATGGGTTTTTTGTCTGGAAACTGTCGAGGAGGCTCTAACTAAGGCATTGCTCAAACCGCAACGCAAATAATCCATTCACCGCTGAGAAATCCATCCACAAACACTCCACTGCTGCGCCGTGACCGTAACACGTAGGATTGGTCCCGGCGTGAACGTAGTGTTAAAGTGAGCGAAGTCGCTTTTGTGTTACGGTCACGGCGCAGGCGCGGGGTTAGCGGGGACGGATTTCTCAGCCGTGATTGAACAATTTGCGCTGCCCCTTGGGCAGTGTCTTAGTTAGGACCCCCTCGTCAATTTCCAAGTGAAAGAGCCATGCGACCAGATTTGCTTGGACACTGCCTTTAAAAAGCTGGGCTGCTGATGCTTTGGGCTCTAACAAAGAAAAGAAGAGGAGTTTCGGAACCAAAATCTCACCATGTAGTAAACATCAGGTGTACAACAGATTTATGTAAAAATTTTAGAAAACTTATGTAAATTGAAAGTTTTGCCTACCTCAGGTGGGCATTAGGTGGGCAATTGCCCCTGTGCACAAGAATAGTTGGGCACGTTCTTCATTCACTAAGTTTTTCATAATTTTTCATACATTGTTCCTTAGTCCTACTGCCGTATACACACCAAGTCTCGCGCGATTTCGTTTTCTCTTGCTGCAAACGAGCCATTTTTCCATTTTCTTGGTGGAAATTTTCGCAAAAACGATTTCTCCTTGCTTTTTCCACCAAAAACGATTTCCAGATTGTCATTTGCCCACCTCGTGCCGGCCCCCCCCCCCCAAACTCCACTCTTTTGAAAGCAGACAAAAGCGACTTAAACTTCTTTTTTTTCATCGAATTTCGTTTCCCACATTGGCTATAGAGCTTTACATAGCTCACATGCTGAACCAAGCTTGGAAGGTTTTTTAACGCGTATCTGTGGTAGTGCGATTGCTGATTATTTCCACGCGGAAAAATAGCAGAAGCGAAAACATTATAAAAATAACGCTTTAGGTGTATTCTGCTGCAAAGGATATTGTCTGCATGAGCATGTCTGCTGCGGAAGCGTTGCTGTTCGTACATATACACCGTTCACAAGGTGTGTCTATGGTACATCCCCGCGGGAAGGGAAGGTATCTGAGAGGGGACACGTCATATTTCGCTACTCTAGATATCCTTCTTCTTCTTTCTCCTATCTGGTTTATGTTTCCATACCCTAATTCCTGCGCATAAGGGATGCCAGGTTACTGCCATACAATATCAACTTTTCACTATTTTGTGTGATAACCTGGGGATGTCCAGACAATCACCTCTCATTTTCAAAGTCATTTATCTTCTTGCAATCTCGATGAAAACGCTGTAAAATTGTACTGAGGGTAATACAGCTGCTAAGTGTGTTTTCGACAAGAGAAATCCAACCTGGAAAATGTGAACCTTTCGATAATCCCAGCTTGCGAGCAGTGGTTCATCGAAGATTTTGATAACTTGAGATTTCACCTATTTCTGCTATTAACATGTCTAGCAGTGCCATATTATATTCTCAGCACGATTTCATAACATTTTCATTGAGTTTATAGGAAGATAGATGACGAAAATGAGAGGAGGATCCCCTGGGGAACCCCAGGGGATCACACAAAATCGTGAGAATCTGATCTTGTATGACAGGACCCTGGCAACCATTATGCGCAGGTGGCAGGGTAGAGAATCTTCATAACTCAGGTAAAGAAAGAAGAAAAGATATCCAAAGTGGCGAGATATGACGCGTTGCATAAAAGAAAGTACGAAACTTCCCATATCACAGAAAATATCACTTGCAATCTAAACAAGAGAGAGATACACCTAGCTCCCAGTTCCGAATTAGCCTCCTTTGGCTTCAGCGGAGGAGTCAAATTCAGTTTGTTGGGGGAGGGGGGGGGGGGGTAATTGTTGTCTTCACTTGAAGATGTACAGCATGATAGAACAAGCTTTTGGCTACAACATTTTTTGATGAAAATTCGTTGCAAGCAAACCATGGAGTCAAACGCCGGGATGTGTACGTTGCCTGCTGGAAAGTTGGGTACAACTGCATGAAGAAGAACATAAAATCAATAGAAATAGCTAAAAACACAGCTATATGCTTACATAGTGGAAATGTGGAAAGAGAATACTCTTAGACTCAGTGACGGCTTCGCTTAGTTCGTTTCAGCGATGATGACTGCTGGCACGCAGGTGATATTTGCAAGTTTTATCTGCCTTTCCAAGATAGAAAGTGGGAGCGCAAGTTCTACGATGTGATAGCGCGAAGCCTCCTCTTCACCGTGGGCTTTAGACTGTTGTAGAAACATCTTCAGTATCCTTAATTGCGGATCAAATTGTATTAGGTTGTCCGGAAATAAATGTCCGTTTTCGTTTTCAACCGTCATAATTCGTACATTTTTCATTTCTGAATAGACTTCAAGATACCAATCGATAGAGCAAAGCAAGCTCTACAAGATGGCGATCTTGCTCTAGCAACAGCTCTGATCCACCTCGAGTTTCGAGCCAAAAACTAAAAAGATTCAACTGCCCGAAAAATCGAGAAAAATCATAACTCAGTTCATAAGAATCCTACAAAGATTCTAACTTGCTCACGTAAACACTATCCACATAAGACATATATGTACGCCGTTGCCGTATTTATTCCTCTGTTAGAAATCAAGAAAACGAAAATTTCCATACTTTTGCCAAAGTGATGCTGTGTCGTCCCTACATAAGTAGTTGTGTACTATAAATCTGTAGAAGTATACACGTGAATTTTCAGCTCTCCACAAGCTTTAGTTCTCGAGAAACGTCGAATATAGCTTTCAATGGTCAGGTGGTCCAAGCTAAAATTCAAATTTCTCGAGAACTAAAGCTTGTAGAGAGCTGGAAATTTATGTTTGCACTTCTACAGGTTTGTAGTATACATCTACTTATGTGGGGACGACAAAGCATCACTTTGGCCAAAGCATGGAAATTCTGGTTTTCATGATTTCTAACAGAGGAAAAAATACGGCAATGGCGTACATATATGTCTTATGTGGATACTGTTTACGTGAGCAAGTTAGAATTTTTGTAGGATTTTTATGAGCTGAGTTACGATTTTTCTCAATTTTTCGGGCTGCTGGGTCTTTTTAGTTTTTGGCTCAAAACTCGAGGTGGATGAGACCTGTTGCGAAAGCAAAATGGCCATCTTGTAGAGCTTGCTTTGCTCTATCGAATGGTGCTTTGCAACCCATTTGGAAGTGAGAAGTGTGTTACTTATTGCGGTTGAGATTCAAAACGGACATTAATTTCCGGACAACCTAATAAACACCAAAAAATTTGATTCTCCCCTTGCAATATAATTAATTCCAACTATATAACACAAGGAAACCAAGCCCAAAAAAGTATAATATGTGGAGGACGGCTGCGGAACTCCGTGGCATCAATTTGAAAAAAACATTAGTAGATCTTGAATTACAGTGCTGCAGAAGCTCAGATATGAGCTTTCGAGAGGGTATGCCTTACCGGGTTAATGTTATAAAGAGCTTTTCCAACAAATCGTCATGTCATTAGCTATCACGAAACTCCTACTTCTACATCAAGTTCCTGAGCTTACCTCAACCTGTTTTGACTCTGCGGACACATGGGGTGGCATTAAAGGCAGCGGCTCGGCAGATTGGCCTACCTCAGATTTTGACACAGATGTTTAGGAGGCCCTCCAAGTGAACCAAAACAGCAACTCGGCGCCGAAAATGTGAACTCGGCAAGCCAGGGGGCCCAAGCGCCGCTCCCCTTCCTCCTTTCGCTCCCCTAACACCTTATTCGGACGAGTATGTTCTCTGCTAAATAACGCGCCGTCACTCGTAATTTCGTAGGGCAGAATTGTTCTAGCGTTCTCTGCCTCCTTACTCTGCGTCTCTGACGGCAGAGAAAAAAGGCTTACTCGTCCGCGCCCGTCTCAGGGTGGGTTTCAGAAGTCGGGGTTTTTCCCATTTTCGCGCTAAGGGGAGTTCATATCGTGATTCAGGGGGCGGGAATAGCCCCAAATCTGCCAAAACCTCGAAGTTGAAAATTTGCCGAGCTGCTGCCTTCAAAATGTACCGGAATAGCCCCAAATCTGCCAAAACCCCGAAGTTGAAAATCTGCCGAGCTGCTGCCTTTAAAATGTAGTGAATGAGATGACATGCACAGCCTGGATGTGTAAATGTATTATCAATTTGGAGAGACATAGATGTGGAATAACACAAGGAGATTGTTCAAGTCACGACTACTGTAATTTCTAACAATTTCTTGGATTCGACCCGGAAGATCATTGTGCGTTGTTACGAGTGAATAATTCTTTAAATGAAAGGACTTACGATAAGATATGGACAGACGAGTGAACCAGCAATCTGAGCTGTGGATGCTATCCTTCCAGTGGCCTAAAACAGTTTACATGAGAAGGACATGGGAAGGTAAAGGTACACAATCGTTTAAAACATCCATCAAGCGTATACTTGAACTTGCTCTGATTTATTAGGGGAGAGGATATGGAAAGGCTTTATTGAGCTACTGTTCTTCGGGGCTCAAATCTTTGATTGTCTGATAGAACGGATTCGTGAAGAACAATAAAATGTCATGGCAAGGCGTGGCGTTAGGCATCGGGCACACCTTACGCGATTGATCGCTACGCGAATACTCCACCGGTCATATGTTCCTGACCACCTTGAGAGAGTGTGTCCCGCCGCATTCATGCCAGTTTGAAGGGGCAACAAATTGCGTGCCATCGCGAGCAGTTTTTTAACGGGCATACCACTAGTGGTGATATCGCCGCGATATCTCCGAAGCTGAGGAAAATCGCGTCGCAGAGTCTGCACTAGCGACGTGCGATATGTCACGTTGCTTTTTTTTTCTCTGGAAAGATGTCGCAAGTCTTTTTTTTCAGTTTTAACTGATGCACCATGCGAATAGTGCCACATGACCTGTGCTTCCGCTGCACACTTGTTTCCACTTAACTCTGTATTTCTTGTTCACTTTCTCTTTCATCCACTTCTTTCTCTTATCCTTTCCACTTATCCACTTTAACTCTGGATTGACGGAAGCGTTACTAAATTGTCTTGGCAACAGACAGTGTTTCTTCTTCTTGTTTTCTTGTTTTTCGCTTTCCCTTTCCCTTTCCAGAATCATGTGACTGCTTGGAGGTTTTCTACTGTGTACTTGTCTGTTCCTTTACTGATACTATTTCACTTCATGATTGCTGGTACCCTTGGTTTGCATCTCTGACCACGGTACTGTGGCTAATATGTCGGCGACCTTGCAACAACTTGTCGCCGGCATGCAATAGGTGTTAGCGGCAATGTGATATCTGCCATCCTTGAGCAACATGTTGTTGCATGTTGCTACATAGCCATACGTATCGCACTCAGAGACGCAAACCAAGACTAGCAGCAATCGTGGAATGGGCGATGCTGTGGTGGACGCGTTTATGAGCCTAACTAACGTCGTGAGATTAGTGTGTGAAAAGGGAGTGAGAGATGTCAGACGAATTCAAAACTCGGTAATGTTTGCGTCCATTCGGGCGTGACGTGTGAGCTACGAGTTTGTGAAAGGTATGTCCGGAATGAGCAACATGAGATTAGTCCCAAAGCGATTAGACGCCTAGGCATTCGATGCTCCAGCGATGAGAATCGCTATGATGGAGTCGCTGAAGGTATGCCCGAGGCCTTAATCATTGTACTGAGGGGAAATGGCAGTGACATGAAAAACTATAATGTGTACTAGCTTTTCGGATGCCGATCTCACACTCAGATAATCGCCGGGGGCAGGCGGTCAGCAAATCCGCGCTTTTCTGCAAGCGGTCAGCAGAATTTTGGGGCGTGGCCAAACCTTCAGCGAGCGGTACTTCCTTTCTCAGATAACCGCCGGGGGCAGGCGGCCATGCGAATTTTGAGCAAGCGCGCACCGGAAAAATAGTTCGTTGATTTTTTGCGGCCCGCTTGCAGAAATTTGGAAGAAATTTGGCAAAATTAAAGACGAATGCTTGAAGAACAATCGCGGTTTCTTTATGGATTAGCTGCGGCGCAGTGGCCGCATTCTCGCGGACTTTCTGCGAGAATATGCAAAAATTTCGAGAGCCGCACGGTCCTTTGTGGAGGACCGCGCAACCCCCCAGGTACTTTTCGCTGAGAGAAAGTACCTCAAACTTAAGTAATTAAACCAACGGTGACACCTCTGCCACACGGAGTCTTACCTGCGCTCGACGTACGCCCGAAAATATCTAAAAAGAGTCCGAGCGCTTGCTGAATGCTTGGCCAGCGCTCGCTGGAAGAAATTATTTGCCGAGCGCTTGCAAAAAATGCTGTATTGCTGCCCGCTGGCAGAATATGCGACCGTGAAGGAAGTGCCGCCCGCTGAAGGTTTGGCCACGCCCCAAAATTCTGCTGACCGCCTGCAGAAAAGCGCGAGTTTGCGGACCGCCTGCCCCCGGCGATTATCTGAGTTACTGTCTAATGTTCTGCCAGCGGGCAGCAACACAGAATTTTCTGCAGGCGCACGTCAAATAATTTCTTTCAGCGAGCGCTCTTCAAATTTTCAGCTGGCGCTCGGACGGTTTCTAAGCAATTTCGGGCGTACGCCGAACAAAGGTGAGACTCTACATGGCAGAGGTGTCATCGATGGTTTGATTACTCAAGTTTGAGGTACTTTCTCTCAGCGGAGAGTACCTGCTCAGATAACCGCCGGGGGCAGACGGCCATGCGAATTTTGAGCAAGCGCGCACCGGAAAAATAGCTCGTTGATTTTTTGCGGCCCGCTTGCAGAAATTTGGAAGAAAGTTGGCGAAATTAAAGACGAATGCTTGAAGAACAATCGCGGTTTTTTATGGATTAGCTGCGGCGCAGTGGCCGCATTCTCGCGGACTTTCCGCGAGAATATGCAAAAATTTCGAGGGCCGCACGGTCCTTTGTGGAGGACCGCGCAACCCTCAGGTACTTTCCGCTGAGAGAAAGTACCTCAAACTTGAGTAATTAAACCAACAGTGACACCTCTGCCACACAGAGTCTTACCTGCGCTCGACGTACGCCCGAAAATGCCTAAAAAGAGTCCGAGCGCTTGCTGAAAGTTTGGCCAGCGCTCGCTGAAAGAAATTATTTGCCGAGCGCTTGCAAAAAATGCTGTATTGCTGCCCGCTGGCAGAATATGCGACCGTAAAGGAAGTGCCGCCCGCTGAAGGTTTGGCCACGCCCCAAAATTCTGCTGACCGCCTGCAGAAAAGCGCGAGTTTGCGGACCGCCTGCCCCCGGCGATTATCTGAGTGAGGGCTGCGCGGTCCTCCGCAAAGGACCGTGCGGTCCCCGAAAATTTTGCATATTCTCGCGGAAAGTCCGCGAGAATGCGGCCACTGTGCCGCAGCTAATCTATAAGGAAACCGCGATTGTTCTCCAAGCGTTCGTCTAAAATTTCACTAAAATTCTTCCAAATATCTGCAAGCGGACCGCAAGAAATCAGCGAACTATTTTTCCGGTGCCCGCTTGCCCATAAATCGCATGGCCGCCTGCCCCTGGCGATTATCTGAGCATCTGGCCTAGAAATATGCTGCGGACTCTTGCTGAAAGAGTTATACAGGATTTTCTGAAGACGGGTTGCGAAGCGCGCCCTGGAGTTGAGGGACATTGGCAACCATTGCAGTAGCATGCATAGTCGAGTGGTGAGTGGCTTTAACTGTAGAGGGGTTGGGTTGGAATCCTTTCAATCGCCTCTTTTTCTACATCACCTAGTACTCTGATCAAACAACACTAATCAAAACTATATGTCATGAAAAACTTTGTATCCTTCTCGTCTGATAACGTTCAGGACATTTTGAAAACTTCACATCAACGCTTTGTCACACAGTTGGCCGGAATCTCTGACGAATAAGGCTGTGAGGAGCTGTTTTTCATTCGATGCGCATTGTGTACATATAATGCTTCCAGCATTGAGTGCAGTGTTTCCAGTGTGTTCTGAAGTTATATTTGTGCTGTCATCGATGACCTAGCTAGAACAGAGTAGCGAAAGCTCAAAGTCTCAAGAATTGCTAAAACAGTTTTGATGTGTGCAAATGTTCTATAGTCGAATCATCTCATATGGTCGTGTGTGTCGCGGCACACCCTGTCCACCTTTGGCGTTCTCATACTGGATTCTTGGAGAAAACCTCTCAGGTAAGTCTCTTCCTTGTTTTTTGAAGTTTTCTTTCCTTTATAGGTACTAATCATCTCAAAGTGATGTAAGCGATGACAATCGCTTAGTCCCTTGCGTCTTTGCGGTGCAAATCCAGGATGAGAACGCCAGAGATGGACAACGTATGCATTGGGGTGTATGCCAAGATGAACGATAGCTGGGAATAAGCATACTGTACTCGTGCGGTTGTCAATATGCCGCGCCTAAAGTCTTATTTTTTTAAGCGATATGTTCTTCACTGGGTTGAAAATGGTGTCGAACAGTAAGAATAAGGCGGTACCGAGCTCCCAGCGTTTCTTCCAGAATTTTGAATATCATCATAGCGTAATTATAGAATCTAGAAAATATTTGACCTACGCAACGCATATGGCTGGCACAATCTATCGTTCATGTTGGCTGCCTCCCTATGCATTGACAGACATGATCATATGATTCGACTGTATATGTTGCTTGAGGGTATTAGGCCATGTTGCAAAAGACTTGGCAAGCCACGATTTGCGAGCCTTACCTATGGCTTCACTTTACTGAAACTCGGCTATCTGTGCCTTTGCAGTGCTTGCCACCATCCCTCTATACCAAGACGTGCCTTGCAACCAGCAGTTGAACCGTATGTATAACTCCTTCAAGCAAGGGTGCGCGGCAGATACCGAAGTCAGATAGATATGAGAGATCAGCATCCAAGAACCTTTTACATGGTATACTCCAATCTTTCGAACATGACTGCGTTCTATTACCCTTCCCGAAATAGTTTTTACAAGCTCACTGAAAAGTCTTAAAGACAGCGCCCAGGCGGGTACAGGGCCTTAAAGGCACCGTCCACCCGCATTGGGGTTGGTGAGATTTAGATACCTAGCAGATGCGGGGCCCCCAACTGTATGATTGCCCAACTCGCACTGCCTGAAGTTGCTTCCGAACCAAGAAAATTGCTTCGGAAATCGCTTCAGGTTGCGTTCGCGACGCTGGCTCCTCCCCTTTCGGAGTGGGCGTGACGTTCGTCCCGCCCATCCGTGCGCGCCCAACCAATCACCGTACCGAAGAAATCGCTCTGCGGGTTCTCAAAACAGGGGTTTTTCGTGGTTTTCGCGGATTTTCAACTTAATATTCGGAATCAGGGGTATGAGAAGGCCCTGAAACGGCAGAAATATGGAGGTCGAAATTTTGGGTGGACGGTGCCTTTAAAAGCAGTGTCCGGGCAAAAAGTCGATTTTGAGATTTTGTGCTTACCCGGTCCTATTCGCTATGCTGAATCCGAAAATCCACATTAGAAAGCGCGAAAATGGCGAAAAAGAACTCTAATGCAGGAGGGAAATCGGAAGTGGGCGGGGTCTTCCCCACCGCGGATTCACGCTCCAAGCTTCCGGAGCGATCTTCTCGGTCCCGATTTCAAGTCATGCATTTGCACCTGGCCTGTGGAGATCTCAGGTCGGTAGCGGAATTGAGAAAATCGCTTCAGAAGATGAGACCGCAAAATTCACAGTGGGGAAGACCCCGCCCACTTCTGATTTCCCTCCTGCGTTAGAGCCCTTTTTTGCCATTTTTGCGCTTTCCAATGTGGATTTTCGAACTCAGCATGGCGAATAGGCCCAGGTAAGCACAAAATCTCAAAATCGAGTTTTTGCCCGGACACTGCCTTTAAGCACGTGTGTAGACAGCTTTAGAGGGTATGGCTCATTCCATGCTTCCTTTGGCTAATGAATTGACGGGGTACAAGAGGGAGATCTCTTTTTGGCTACGCGCTCAAACTCAAAAAGAAATTTCGTGGACGGTGCCTTTGAGCCGCCTATATGCTCCACCCTCGCAGACCTGGCACGAGCTGCTTGTGGAGGTGCGTAGTTTGTTGCAACTGACCGTGCGGGACCTTCCTTTCCGGCGACCTGTCCGCTACCCCGTCCAGGCAGCTCGTCCCAGTATCGTATTTAGCGGACGACATGCATCGGCTTGCAGAGTTTTGCGTGGCTATCCATCACGAGAGCGGTGTATTCGTACGCAATAGCTGCAGCCTGATTCAAGTCGTCCACAAAATACAGTATCGGGCGCTGTTTGGTGGCGAATATCTCAGCTGCATTTGCATCATCTGCGCTACCGCTTGGCAGCGTCTTAGCTAGGCTCCCAGAAAGCACTTTCGACTTGCGACCCCCATGTATTCAAATCTGATTTCAAAGATGTGTTATAATCCACTCCGATAATGCTATACATATCTGTGGCATCAATCATTGCTTGCGAGTTGGTGTTCTTCGGAAAAGACAACTTTCGAATTTTATTCGTCATATCAGTGATGTTATACGACGTTTTCATGGTGTTTGTGTAAAAGTAAACGACTTCGAAGAGAAACAACGATCTTCTGAGCTTTCGAAGAGGATCGTACAAGACAAGAACTACAGCTTGTACACTGCTCTGGTTCGCTTTTTGTAACCGTATACTACCGGTAGCGCAGGCTTTCAAACCGAATGGGCAACGAACTATAGCTCTAAAGCACCAAGGTATAAAGCATCCCTTTCGGTACACCCATACTTATCCACTGTATCCAAATGCAAAGCCACGACCTTCTAGCTCCGATGAGGTGGATGAATTGGATCAAGTGGATAAGCACGACTCAGACAGTCGGTGCCGTAGCTCCGGAGGAGAGTCGAAATCTGGCAGAGTCGCGGAGGACCCAATTGACCATTGAGAGCGGGGCGAGAGGGCGGTTCCTTCTTGTAGGTCACGGTGACGTCACAAGCAGGCGAATGGGACCCTTCTCCGGGACGCACAAATCTCTGCTCCGAAGGTACGCCAGATTTGGGAGAGCCCCGGAGCAGAGATTTGCGCTCCGGAGGTACGCCAGATTTGGGACACCTCCGGAGCACAAAATGGGAGGGCTCCGGAGCACAAAATGGGAGGTCTACGGAGCACAAATGGGAGGTCTCCGGAGCACAAAATGGGAGGACTCCGGAGCATAAACGGGAGGTCTCCGGAGCACAAAATGGGAGGGCTCCAGAGCACGAGTGGCAATCCCCCGCTGGGGAAACCCCGCGGCTCGGCCATTTCTGCTCCGGAGGTATGTCGTCGACTGTCTGAGGATGTGTACCTTGCACCTTACGACGGCCATAATAAGCTGTCCGCGCTTCCTTTGATATAAACAGTGTTTGACGGCCGTTGAGCTTTTCAGATGATTCTTGAGTGTGTTTCATATAAGACATCAGCAGTGCGGCATGCCAACTTTTCGCCTTTCGCAGCTTGAGACAGCAAGTAAGTTGAGAGTAATTTGGGTCTGATTTCTCAAATCGATTAGCAACACGGTTCTAGATTGATGCAGAATTAATGAGCGCGTTTTCTGCTACAGGTGCAGTGTGAATATAAAACTTCTTGGCGCCGTTTGAAAGTGCAAAGCGTGCTCCACGATATGACTAACAGACATCGGCTCGAATCATAATCCGCATGAAGTTTGAAGCCAAAGTCCAAAAATCTAATTCCTCAAAAATTGAATATCGATCCAGTACCTCCTACTTGGTCAACATGTACCTAATTTATGCTCGCTAACGTCCACTATATGCAATCGCTGTAGTTGTTTCACGACTGTAGATCGAGAAAAATGATGCTCGAAATCTGGCAAACACAATTGCGCGCTGTTGTCACATCTTATATATAAAGCTGAATGTCTGTTTGTATGTCTGCATGTCTGTATGTATGTACGTATGTTCCGAATAGAAAATTCCATTTCTCAACCGATCCGGACCAAACTTAGCACACATACACTTCGGGCCCCGGCGGGTGTCATAGGCTACTTTTCGTCATCGATCGATATCGATTTTATCGACTTTTATCGATTTTTTTGCGGTGTTCACCTACGGGGCTGGGAGTTGGCACAGGGGGGTAAGTGAGCATGGAGATTCCGAATACAATATTAGTTTTCAGAATTATCGATTACTTTTATCGATTTTATCGATTTTTTGCAAAGTTTGAGCTACGGGGCTGGGAGTTGGCGCGGGGGGGGGGGTAAGCGAGCATGCTGATTACGAATACAATATTAGTTTTTGAAATCGTGCATTACTTTCATCGATTTTATCGATTTTTTTTGCAAAGTTTGAGCTACGGGGCTGGGATTTGGCACAGGGGGGTAATCGAGCATGCTGATTACTAAAACAGCAGGAATAGTGATTTGGCATGTAGGCGTGGGCACAGGGGAAGGTTTGTACAGGGATAGGGATAGTGTTCTTTGACATAGTGTTTTGACAGGGCCGGGCGGAGCCGGGTAAGCCAGCTAGTTGATCTTATAAAAGCTGAATGTGTGTCTGTCTGTCTGTCTGTACGTATGTGCGGAATGGAAATTTTTATTTCTGAACCGATTTGGGCCAAACTTGGCACACATACACTTCGGGGCAGGGAGCATGTCATAGGCTACTTTTCGTTGTCGATCGATATCGATTTTATCAATTTTTATCGATTTTTGTTCACCTACGGGGCTGGGAGTTGGCACAGGGGGGTAAGTGGGCATGGCGATTCCGAATACAATATTAGTTTTCAAAATCGTCCATTACTTTTATCGATTTTATCGATTTTTTGCAAAGTTTGAGCTACAGGGCTGGGAATTGGCAGAGGGGGGTAAGTGGGCATGGCGATTCTGAATACAATATTAGTTCCCAGAATTATCTATTGTTTTATCGATTTTATCGATTTTTTTGCAAAGTTTGAGCTACAGGGCTGGGAGTTGGCACAGGGGGGTAAGTAGGCATGCTGATTTCGAAAACAACACAGGGAACGGAAAATGGGCTGTACAGGGATAGGGATGGGACCTTTATTACAGTGTTTTGACAGGACCGAGCGGAGCCGGGTAAGCAAGCTTGTCGTACTCTAAAGACCTTTGCGAGTAGAATCATGAAGATCTTGTCCCTGCTTCAAGCCCCAAATTCCAGTAACTCCATTTATACAATTCAATATAGTAGACACAAATGTTTTTATTGCATAATGAACAAATGGGAGGTTCTCAAGATTTTTGGCCCAAATTCGATTTTTGTACCAGTTGGATGCTTTTTGAAGCTTTCAACTCGAGAGAAATCACGATTTTTGAGAAGATGTGGCAACTATCTTGTAGAGGTTGTTTTGCTCTATCGGTTAGCATAATAATTGCACTCGGCTGGGCTGCCGCATAAGAAACGCTCGTTACTTTGCATCAATTTAATCGTTGTCAGGTCAACGCTTCGGTGCTTTCTTAAGGCCCCGGCACTCTTTTACGAATTGAGTTGAGCTGTCACCGAGCACAAGGTCTGCATTGTTAGATCCCTTGAGAGAAACACAAACAAGCTGTGCTAAAAATCAATAATTCTGGAGATTGCGACATAGATCACCATTCATACGAATGTAAAGTGTACATAGGTCTGACTAGCAGTCTACCAACGTTATCAAAATTCCGCAACTCTGCCTGTGTAAAAATCTGGTAGCCGATTTTGCATAGAAAGATTACGGTTATTGTCAGGGTCGAGCAAGAGGTGTGGCACACAACCGACGGATACGAACCCCTTACCTCCGCCCTTAAAGGCAGTGTCCGGGCAAAAAGTCGATTCTGAGATTCTGTGCTTACCCAGGCCTATTCACTATGCTGAATCCGAAAATCTACATTGGAAAGCGCAAAAATGGCAAAAAAAGGTTCTAACGCAGAAGGGAAATCAAAAGTGGGCGGGGTCCTCCCCACTGTGAATTTTGCAGTCCTAGCTTCTGGAGCGATCTTTCCAATTCCTCTAGCGCCCTGGGATCTTCACCGGTCAGGTGCGAATGCATGAATTGAAATCAGAACCGAGAGGATCGCTCTGGAAGCTGGGAGCGTGAATTCACAGTGGGGAGGACCCCGCCCACCTGCTGATTTCCCTCTCGTGTTAGAGCCGTTTTTCGCCTTTTTCGCGCTCTCCAGTGTGCATTTTCGGATTCAGCTTAGCGAATAGGCCCGGGTAAGCAGAAAATCTCAAGATCGAGTTTCTGCCGGACACTGCCTTTAAAGGCAGTATCCGGGCAAAAACTTGATTTTGAGATTTTGTGTTTACCCGGGCCTATTCGCTATGCTGAATCTGAAAATCCACATTGGAGAGCGCGAAAACGACGAAAAACGGCTCTAACACTGGAGGGAAATCAGCAAGTGGGCGGGGTCTTCCCCACTGTGAATTCACGCTTTCAGCTTCCAGAGAAATTTTCTCTAATCCGTTAGCCGCCCTGACATCACTACCGATCAAGTGCAAACGAATGGCTTGAAACCGGAATCAAAAAGATCGCCCTCGAAGCTGGGAGCGTGAATTCACCGTGGGGAAGACCCTGCCCATTTGCTGATTTCCCTCCAGTATTAGAGCCCTTTTTCGGCGTTTTCGCGCTCTCCAATGTGGATTTTCGGATTCAGCATAGCGAATAGGCCCCGGTAAGCACAAAATCTCAAAATCGAGTTTTTGCCCGGACACTGCCTTTAAGTTCTGTCTCGATATCCCCGCCCCCAGCATTTTTGTTGGCCTGCCGTATGCATGACATAAAGGCTAAGTACCAAGCATAATTAGTAACATATTCGTAATTATCTTGTCAAAAAACCCCTGTGGGACAAGTTTCAGCGTCTTTGGGTTCCCAATATTGGGCCACCCAAGTGAAGTGGCCATTTTCAAACATTGTTAGCAATATTTCAAAAGTGAATTAGCTATCTCTTTTTGTAATCAATACAAAGGACTACTCCATGTTTGCCATACCATGAATCCTGTTTCAAATAATCATCAAACTGGAATTAGAAGCCAGCCAAAATCTCGTTTGTCCCACTTTTCTCTTCCAGTGGTTCTGCTTCCAACAACTAGTCTTCAAACGAAAGAAGACGAATCTGGCTCTAATCGCTGCTACAAGAAACACGAGATTTTGGCTAGCGAGTGTTTATGATAAGTTCCCTAAAACTCTCTTTGGAGGTAAGTAAATGGGGTGTGGCATAACCTTAGAACAGCTGTGGCTGCCACACCTTTTTAGGGTTGTGTCACACCCATAGTTGCGATAGGGGAGCAATGGATCTTACCCCCCTCACGTCTGAGCCGGAACCCGGATGACCCCCCTTTGTGAGTGACTAACGATCAAAAAACCATTAAAGATTCAAACACTCCAAAAACGAATATAAGAATCAAAAAACATTTGAATTTTCCCAAGAACCACAAGGGTTGATGCTTGTTTACTGCCTCTTTCTTCCATGTTTTTCGAACAATTTTTTGAACATTTTTTGAACTTGACCTGCCTGAACACACCAAAAAATTTTGCGATAGATCCTGTACCTTGCTGCGTAATGCCTGAAAGAATCGCGCGGCGTAAGTTTCGTCTTCCGAAACACAACGACGCGGCTGAGCGGCTCGCATGAAAAATCGAAAAAGCCGCGTCTTGTACTCATGAAATAGGGTAGCCCACTTTTGAATTAAGGGTGTTCGGAGACCATCTCCCTTGGGTGGCCCAATGTTTGGAAACTTCAAAATTTGCTGAAACTTGGCCTACAGGGGTTAATTGACATGCTAATTACGGACATAATGCTCTTACGCTTTTACGGCCCTCTTATTATGCTTACTGTACGTATACGATGGCCAAAACATTGTTGTGCTAGTAGTTTGCATGATGGACCTATATGAGATTCTTAACGAATATCATGTTATCGCTATATCATAATCAATTATCGCTAATATCAGAATCAGAATTAATCATCAATTCGACAACGACTCCTCACCCTTCACTACGACATCCCAGGTATGGCATGCGACACCCCACGCTTGGCCTTAGTTATTGTCATTGGGAAAGATTTGATTTTCTCTCCAAGCCTTTTGACAATTCCCCAGCTTTGGGAGTTGCTCAAAGACTCAGTCCACTTCGGTTTGAGGTTGGTGGGAATTTTACGCGATGTGATAGTGGCGCTCAGGTAAGTGGTCATTCCGCTGTCAAATTTTTCAAAGCAAACAAATCGCCCTAGGCGGCAGAGGCAGCCGCCCATCAACCGGTGGTTCTGCAGGTACTAAGCCCAGAACTGGGCTCCAGAGTACTGAGAATTTCAAAGGCTTAATCTTATGATGATATGATTTTTTACGTCCAGATTCTCTAGAGCATAATATCGGTCTTAATTTTGAACCTTCACATCACCGGGCGGTGCTGCCTCTGCCGTAGTACTATTTGCAGCAATATTCCCGTTTCGGATTGGACCTTCTGCAGCGGGACTTGGGCAGTCACGCGATTAGGGTAGCCGCTTTTGTACCCCATCAAAATCTCACCATTTGATTAACGATGCATCATCACATGCATACAAGATTAATAATTATATGTGAAAACTTTTTGAGACTTTCTACTTTCACATTAGCAGCACTAGAACATTATTTATTCCAACACCTTACCTTTCTACTTTATATATATGTTCATATACAGATAATTATTGCGATTTATGACGTGTTTGTAGAAATGGTAAAAGCCGTACCTCTTTTCCATCGTCTTCGTTCATCCCTTGAATGTAGTAGAAAATAAGAAAGAGAAACACAGCTATGATGGCAACGAGACGTATGAGACGTCGCTAAACGATAATGAAGGTTTTTTCCTGTAAATTTTGCTTTAGGTTCCGAGTGCAAAGCTAAAAAGTGCTGGTCGCAAATATTTGAAAACACAAGGAGATACGGGAGGTCAAAAGCTAACAGAAGTTCATCTTCAAACGGATAGAGCGTTGGTGAGTCTACACCACCGTGATCTCTTTTCCTTCCTTTGTTCAGCGAAAGGCAATATTTCCGCTGTATAACTGCTTCTGCTCGCGACGATTACACCCCAAGATAGGTGAGGACAATTCGTCAAGTGACAGTTTCGCAACATGAGCTTGATTTCTTAGCCTTCGACTAGTTCCTTGTTCACCTGTCACTTTGCTCATTAATTTCATGGCTGCATGAAGATATAAGCCGCAGCAAACTGGTCCCAAAGCTATGGTGTCCACTTACGTCGATCCGACGAAAGATCTATGTTTGTTCTGAGATCTTTGAACTCTTTCTCAGACGCATTTCTAGTCTATTCACTATGGCATAAGCCATTGAAAGGTTGTTGAGATAAGGAAAAGCTCGGTATCCCATCTAACATTATCGAGTAGAACGAGAGAAATGGAAGAAAACAGAAAAATACATTTCTTTTGCTAATTGTCTCTGAATGGGACTTGGAGCAAACTAATAAACAACTAGTTGAATATTTGCATGCATTTTACTTGCTCTGATGATGATGTACGCTCTATTAGCCGCTTTGGAAAATCATTGGCTCTTGAGGTTACGTATTACCAGTCTGATAACGGCTACGTCCGTATGAATTATTTTTTCGCAGCTTTCAAATTTTGCTTCAATCCGGCGAGAGGGTCTACAAACCGAAAATAATGTTGTAAGCTCCTTCAATGTCCCAATTATAATTTAATGCCACTCGATCTTCAGAAACAATCCCTTTTGTCTTTGGCTAGGTCATAGAATTCACGAAGGAAATGAAGGCAAAATTCGATGCGCATGAGTGATCCTTACAACATGCAACAGACAGCTGGGGTTAGCCGTGCTGGACGCGTAATTCTTGCAATTTTGTTATCAAAAACTGTTCTCAGAAAGGTCAACAATCTCGTAATATGATTGTTCAGGACTCATGGTATATCAAGTATGATTGAGTAGTCAGGAGTGTGACCACTAGGCGGACAAAGTGCATTCATGCCATCATAAACACTGTTATCGTAGAATCTACGCGACATAAGAAGGCTATTGCGAGTATAGCCCAAATAGGGAATGGGAGCACAATGACCACGGCACTCTATGCAAGCAGAGGAGGGGGTAGAGGTGCGCAGAAAAGAAAATGAGGTTACAAGGAGGCGTATAGATCAACATGCAACTCATCGAGATTTCTGCAGTTAGGTTCCATCCAACAATTATGCTTATCTAATAATATACGTTATTGATTGACTGCTTTACGATCAGCACCTTTTGCCTCGCATCCGAAAATAATGACAGTCTTGAAATGCTAACAAGTAGGAATAAAAAAAAAATGAAAATCTTGCAATTGTATAGATGCTAATTACCTTTTTTGTTCGATAATATACCAGAGCAAACAAAAAGAAGCTCTGTATAGCGACAGCATATGACTGGAGAAGTATAAGTTTGGTATCCTGGATGAAGACGGAATATCGCAACCATAATCCAGACCTATGTTTTTAACCAGTGAATCTACCTAGAAGCGTTTGAACGCATGAGAATAGGGCTTTCCTAATACCAGTAGTTCGTACCCCACGACCGCACATAGGTATGGTAGACATGTGTCGCTGTCGCTACTCTGCCGCCGGTACCACTTCAACACTGCTTGCCTTGAAAGTGCATTTTTTTCTCTTTTGTGAATTTTTTTCAAAAAAAAAACCAACACTGGGCTTGTGATCAAAGCCACTGCATGAAGGGCTGTTGATGTTAAGAAAAGGCTCCACACGAGATTGGATGTATACAGCGAGAAAAGATTTGCAATAGATAGTTCCATCTGAAACGATATGATTGTTACTTTGCGAAAAATGAGGGTCACACGTGAGCTGAGAGATATATGGAGAAAAGTGTTACGAATTATGGATCAATGGGAGGTTCATATCTACAAGTTTCATCTCAGAATGCAACGCGTAGAAACGCGTCGGCGTACAGACGCTGGACCAGTTCTAATAAGCAGCTTACGGCTAAGGAAACGATTCACAAAATCACCAGCAAATGGCATATTCGAGAGAGTTTTTCACCATCAGTGCACTTTGTTTACACCTAGCCATCTATGGATTTACTCGCACTGCATTTTACAACGAGTATAAATTAAGTCAAAACATTGTAGCGTAGTGCTGGCACAGTGGGCAGCAAACTCTATTTGATGTTCTCTGAATAACTGTAATTTGAATTTTGATTTTCTGACTGTACTGTAGGATACACGTTAGCCAAAGCAGGAGTTATTGTTTAATATGATTCCATAAAGATGAGAAAGGTTTGGACATAGGTTCATTTCAAATTAGAACAACTTATTAAAAGACTTGATTTCGAACATGCCCATTATGTTGATAACAGCGAAATTTACTAATGACATTTGTCTTCGAGGGTTCACGCACACTTTGAATAGATACAAAAAGGTCGTTCAAAATTAGATAGCATATATATCAAGGTCTCAATCAAAGGAAACATCTGAAATATAGAGAAAAACGAAGGCTCAGTACCGCATTGCTCGCGCTATCTCGTCAACAATGCTACTATAAAATGTGGTTTATGATTCCGTAAGGTTTGAGTTCAAGGAATAAGCGTTAGAGGAGCATCGTTTGAGGGGTTCGTATTTAATATTATCCGCCCAAAAAGCGTTCGGCTCACAATGCTTTTTTGAGATTGACACCGAATCTCATTATTGCGCTGCCTATTTCCATGCGGTGCTTGGTTTCTTCGATAATATTCATTTGCGGAACCCTCAACGCGAAGTGCGCCTTAATAGCGATCATGCAATTGAATACTAGTAGGAATGAAAAATTGAGCAGTCTCTTGCTCTTTCTATCAAGGCGATGAATAGTATGATCTCGATAACAAAGACATTCGGACATTCGCATCCTATGGAAACCACCAAGAGTTATATATATATATATATAATATATATATATATAATATATATATACAAAGTGTCCCAAAAAGATGTGCACACTGTTTGATCGTTGATAACTCCCTTGCTTTCAAGTCTTTTGCCGAGCTTGAGGTACTATTCTGTAGAGCGAGGATAAACTTAGATTTACAGCATGGAGCGAATCACTAATCACTTTTCATTACTGTAGGATTATGGCATCAACTTTCAGCATACAGTCTCACTGTGGAATAGGCCTTTTGATGAAAAAATTTCGAAAAAATCTGAAAATCTGTGTAGCGAGGTTTTCAGGCATGCTAATTTCACTACATAACATTCCACTAGTCTTTCGAGCTTTTTTAATGGTATAATCACATTCCTGACGAACACTGGAAAACCAGTTGTTACCCTAAATCTGAAATAACTCATGAAATTAACACTGTCCTGTCGTACAGTTTTCATATTTAGATTCAGCGACTTCGATTAACCCAGTTTAAGAGTTTCTGGCTTGTCTGGCTTTCTTTCTGAGGCAAAATACCTCCTTAAATAGCTCAAAATCCTCCTCGAAGTTCCTACTGTAATACCACAGTAATGAAGAGTGGCTGATAATCCGCTCCATACTTTAAATCTATGTTGAACCTCGCTCTAAAGAATGGTACCTCACGCTCGGCGAAAGACGTGAAAGCAAGAGAGTTATTAACGATCAAACAGTGTGTGCACATCTTTTTGGGACACCCTGTATATATATATATCAGTGGCGTACCGAGGGGGGGGGGGCGGGGGGGGGGGCGCGCGCCCCCCCCCCCCCCCCGAGAACGGGTCGCGAAAATTTTGAAAGTTACCTACATGGGTTATAAAAATGTGCAAATGACTTGTTTGCACTTGTAAATAATTAAAATAATTTTTAAAAATTTTTAAAAATTCATTTTAGCCTTATAAAAAATTTTTTTCGGGGGCGTGGCTGACGCCACGCCCCCTTTTTCCAGATTCTAGGGGTCGGGGACTCCCAAATTTTTTTAGAAACACCCCAAATTTTTCGGAGTGCGTGGCTAACGCCACGCACCTTCATTAGAAAATTTTTTTTGTCGCGCCCCCCCCGAGCCGAAATCCTGGGTACGCCACTGATATATATATATATATATATATATATATATATATATATATATATACAGGGTGTTTGAAAAGTTCGTGGCCTAAAGTACTTCCAATTCGAATTTTGACGCGTTTTTTGCTATATGCGTTCTCCAAACCTTGAAACCACTGAATAACAAAGAAAAATATTTTTTGCCTCAAAATACCCTAAAAAATTTGGAAGTAAACAATTTTTTCAGCTTCCTTGGAGAGTGCGTCATCTGTTTTGTTCTTTTTTTCCAACGCCGGAAAAGGCAAACAGCTTTTGGTTTTTTTTACTACAAATAGTCCTAGATTTACACTTTCTTTATATAACAAAAGTTCTACATTAGCATGCTAAGAAAGATTTTTTACGCGCTGAATCACAGCAGACAGGCGCGGCACCCTGTTTGCGCTAAAATCTTTTCAGTTTGAAAGAATTTAGAAGTCTTATTTCAACATGTATCTGTAGCACAACTCTCTGGCCTTCGTTGTATTCGTTTTCGAGAAATTTGCACGCTTGCAAAGGTTTTTAAGATAAGATATAAAAATTTCGGTGCTGGACTTTTTGACAAAAGATCCTGAAAGTGGATCTCTTGGCTTTCGCGGTACGATATTTTTTCAAACAAACTTACTTCTACGAAAGTGAGAGCACATTTAAGAAACCTTGAAGAAAGGGCCTTGAGAAGGTATACTAAGTTTTCTGAAAATTATGTTTCCTTTTTTTGTAACAAGTGTTTTGAGGGAAGGGGTTTGGAAAGCTATTCTGTGTGTTTCAATCTAATAAAAAATCAAAGAAACCACAAAAAAATCTAATTTTTACAGAAGTGATGGTATTTAGGTCCGATGAGCACAATAAAACAAAAAACGCATGAAAATTCGAATTAGAAGTACTTTAGGCCACGAACTTTTCAAACACCCTGTATATATATATATATATATATATATAGGGTGTCCCAAAAAGATGTGCACACTCTCTTCATTACTGTAGGATTACGGTAGAAACTTGAAACATATGGTGTCAATGTGGAAAGAGGCCGTTTCAAAATTTTTCAAAAAATTGTGAAAACTTGTGTAATAGGGTTTTTATGGACGCTGAGTTCAATACTCAACTATTCACAAGATTACGAAGCTTTCTAAACGGTGTAACCGCACTTTTTAGGAACATTGAAAAAATGGCCGCTACCTCTTACCTGGCATAACTCTTCAGTGAAGCATCATAATAAGTTGGGAACTTTACAGTTATAATCAGCAACTCTAATTAGCCTAGTTTGAATGCTTTCAGGCTGTTTTGTTTTTTTTTTCAGGCAAAATATGGCCTTTCATTGCTTAAAACCCTCTTTGAAGTTTCTACCGTAATCCTACAGTAATGAAGAGAAATGAGTGATTCGTTCTATAATGCAAATCTAAGTTGAAGCCAGCTATAGGACTGGTACCTGAAGCAAGAGAAAAGACTTCTTTAGAAGAGAGATATTAACGATCAAACGTTCGATACATTTTTTTGGGACACCCTGTATATATATATATATATATATATATATATATATATATATATATATATACAGGGTGTCCCAAAAAGATGTGCACACTGTTTGATCGTTAATAACTCCGTTGCTTTCATGTCTTTCGCAGAGCTTGAGGCACCATTCTGTAGAGCGAGGTTCAACTTAGATTTATGGTATGGAGAGAATCATTGATCGCTCTTCGTTACTGTAGGATTACGGTATGAACTTATGGCATGTGAATCTATTGTGAAATATGCCATTTCACAAAATTTTTTTCAAAAAATCTGAAAAATTGTGTACTAGGGTTTTCGCGCATGCTGATTCCATAACACGACATTTTATGAGTGTTTTTAGCTTTTTTGACGGCGTAATCATATTTTTGATAAATGCTGGAAATTCGGTTATTAAGGTTTACCTGGGATAACCTTGGAAAGAAGCGTCACAGTGAAGTGAAAATTTCATATTCGAACTCAGCGGCTTCCATTACCCATGTATAAAAGTTTTTGACTTGTTTGGTTTCGTTCCGAGGCAGAATATGGCTTTCAACAGCTCAAAATGCTTGTCAAAGTTCCTACCGTAATCCTACAGTAATGAAGAGCGATCGATGATTCGCTCCATACCACAAATCTAAGTTGAACCTCGTTCTACAGAAAGGTGCCTCAAGCTCGGCGAAAGACATGAAAGCAACGGAGTTATTAAAGATCAAAGAGTGTGCACATCTTTTTGGGACACCCTATATATATATATATATATATATATATACAGGGTGTTTGAAAAGTTCGTGGCCTAAAGTACTTCTAATTCGAATTTTCATGCGTTTTTTGTTTTATTGTGCTCATCGGACCTAAATACCATCACTTCTGTAAAAATTAGATTTTTTTGTGGTTTCTTTGATTTTTTATTAGATTGAAACACACAGAATAGCTTTCCAAACCCCTTCCCTCAAAACACTTGTTACAAAAAAGGAAACATAATTTTCAGAAAACTTAGTATACCTTCTCAAGGCCCTTTCTTCAAGGTTTCTTAATGTGCTCTCACTTTCGTAGAAGTAAGTTTGTTTGAAAAATATCGTACCGCGAAAGCCAAGAGATCCACTTTCAGGATCTTTTGTCAAAAAGTCCAGCACCGAAATTTTTATATCTTATCTTAAAAACCTTTGCAAGCGTGCAAATTTCTCGAAAACGAATACAACGAAGGCCAGAGAGTTGTGCTACAGATACATGTTGAAATAAGACTTCTAAATTCTTTCAAACTGAAAAGATTTTAGCGCAAACAGGGTGCCGCGCCTGTCTG